TAAGGTTGAAATCCAAGTATGTTTGAAATTAAAGTTAGACATCGTAGGGAACTAAATATAGATTTGATAGAATCACTCAAAACTAAAGGGTTAAGAATGAGTACAGATAATTATAAATGCCTTTCTTTAAGTGGGTCTAAGTGTCAAAGTGAACTACAATTAAAATGCACTAAATATATGGAAAATTAATTTTTATTTAGAATATTGATACTAACACAATGTTACAGAGGTAAGATAAGGAAGGTGAATAGATTGCACAACAGGATTAGAATGGAACTCTCAATAGGACTGTGGGGAACACTGGAGAAATAAGAGTTATAAGGTTTTTTTTCTTTTTTTTGGATTAGGTAATTTTCCTCCACTCCTAATAGGGTCTGCCCCACCTTCTGTAGTAATACTATAGTGTTCTTTTAACTCTTATGGGTTGCAAAGAAATAAGAGGAACTTTGTTCCAAAATGTCTATGTTTGGTATGGGACTGCGGACCGTTACAAGGTCGGTCAGTCAGGTATGAATGTCTTTTTTGTTAATGTACTTAATATAAGGGCAGTTAGTTTTTGAAATACATTTCTGTTTCAGTGTTCAGGTTAATGTCAATAAATGTTCAGGTATTAAACACTGTATTAAAAAGAAATAGGTTATATCATTCTCTAACACAGGAAAATATACAAATAGGTTTCCTGCAGGAAACATATTGGCTACAGAATTCATCTAAAAAATGGGGTGGGGAAAGATTTCCCGAGATTCGACATGCTTCCTTAAATATAGAGAAAAGAGATGTGGCAATAGTATTCTCTAAAGAGATTGAAGTTATTATCAAATATCAAGAAGCCGACAAAGAGGCAAGATATTTAATATTAGTATGTGAGACAGACAATAAAACATACACTTTGGTGAATATATACTCACCAAATGTGGACCCAATGTCATTGTTCGCCAAGATAATGTGTAAGGTACAGAATATGAGGAAAGGTACTTTGATTATAGCAGGGGACTTTAATTGTGTACTAAACCCGAAGATGGACAAATTAGCGCAGGGAATTATGCTGAGGGATAATAGAACTATAAAACAATCCAAGAAATTGTTGGCATTGTGTAGAAGGTATGATCTGTACGATGCATGACGTGCCGTGCACCCTATGGATAGAGATTACACCCACATATCCAGTGCACATGGCTCATATTCAAGAATTGACATGTGTCTGGTAAATGCTAATACAATTCCTATCATTGATAAAATAATAATAAAAGAGAACACATGGTCCGACCATAGCTTCATTTTGATTGATATAGGGAAACCCAAAAGATATCCAATGAACACCTGGAGATTGAATGATCGGTTAATTAAAATTGATACACACAAAAACGAAATATCAAAACTTTTAAAATTATTTTTTGCAGAAAATAATCCTACTGAAACCTCATAATATAAATTGGTGTGCTCATAAAGCAGTCACGAGGGGTTATTTAATTAAAATGGACCATATACAAAGTGAAAATCTATCTGACTTACATGTAGCTTTTTACAATCTCTCTAGATTAAACAAAATCTCAACCATCACTTGAATGAAAATTAAAATTGAATGATCTACAAAACAAAATTAACTTAAAAACAGAGGAAAAAATCAAATCAACGATAAATAAATTGAAGTTAAATAATTATTATACGGGCAATCGTGCTAATAAAACCTTAACTAGGAAATTACAATATCAGAGATCAAGAAATAGGGTAGAAAAACTTGAGGATGATCAAATGATTTCTACCTCTCCCGAACAAATTGGTCAAAAATTTAATAAATTCTATCAAGAATTATATAATTTAAAAATTAACCCAAAAGATATAGATATACAAAAATATTTAACTAATATGAAGATTACTAAGATCTCAGATGAAGATTTGTTTATGTTAAATCAAGCAATTTCCTTAGAAGAAGTCGACAGACAAATAACTAAACTAAAATTGAATAAAACCCCAGGTCCAGATGGGTATATAAATGTATATTATAAGTTAATGAAATCTACATTAATTAAACCCCTTATAGATTTCTTTAATGAGTTTGCATTGAGTAAAAAAACATCTAAAGAATTATTTCAATCGAATATTCTTCCCATTTTAAAGCAAAATAAGGATAGTAGGTATGTGGAAAATTACAGACCAATTTCATTAATTAATGTTGATATCAAATTATACGCTTCCATTATTGCGGAGAGACTTAAAAGTACAATCTCTAAAATAATACATATAGATCAAACTGGCTTTGTTCCAGGTAGGTCCACAACCAATAGTGAGAGAAGAATTTTGGATATGCTGGACCAATCCGGAAAGAGGTTATTTCCCCTGCTGACCCTGGCATTGGACGCAGAGAAAGCGTCTGACAGGGTCAGCTGGGGATACCTTAAGAAACGTTTGGAGGGATTTGGGTTTAGGGGAATGATTCTTAAAGTTATTATGGCATTATACTCCGCTCCTTCTGCAAGGACTGTTGGAGCTAATATTTGTGCAGAATGGTTCGACTTAAAGAATGGTACAAGACAGGGGTGTCCTTTGTCACCTCTGCTATATATTTTATCACTTGAACCACTAGCAATTAACATCAGGGATAATATTAATATTAAGGGCTTTTACACCGCTTCTACAGAAATTAAAATTTCTCTATTTGCGGATGACACTACTATTACATTGACATCCCCTGAACTATCTCTCCCAGAATTAATGCAAGAAATTAATAAATATGGTTTAGTATATAATTATAAAATAAATATTTCAAAATCTACGGCAATGTATAAGAATATGGAGCGATCCTTAGTGGAAAAATTAAGTAAAGAATATAATTTCCTTTGGACCAAAAAGAAATAAATCATTTAGGTGTATTAATTCCAGCTAAGGTGGAAAATACCATGGAAATAAATGTCATGAAGCTATTAAAATATACAAATAAAACATTGAAATCATGGAGAAAAGTGAATACATCCTAGTGGGGGAAAATTCATACTGTAAATGCATATATTGTATCTAAATGGTCTTATCTATTTTCAATGCTCCCTTTTAAAATCTCAAAAAGCTGGCTTAATATGATTCAAGCCAGTTTTTCATTTTATATATGGAACACTAAAAAACCTAGGATCAGAGTAAAGGTACTCTCTAGGAAATTAAAACAAGGAGGCTTAAACTTTCCCAATATAAAACTTATATATCATGCTAATGTAATAAAACATGTATACAAATTACAAGAAAATCATATGATTGCAGACTTCTGGTATATCATTGAAGCAGAAGCTACTAAGACTGGGAATTTGGAGTATTATTTATGGTTCAATAGTGATAAGAAATGCATTGAGTCCCTTACAGATAAATCATTAATATTATCCCAACTATTACAAGTTTGGGAGGAGATTACAAAAGCTCTGGGAATTGCTCAGTATATACCAAAAACCTGTAAACTAAGTGTATTAGAACATAATATGAAAGATCTGTCGTTAAAACAATGGCCAAACAAAGATTCTATTACCATCTCTCAAATAAAGAAGGAAGATAAGATAATTACATTTCAAGAGCTGGTTACAGATTCCATGTCCCGCACAGAGAAATTTTTACATATTTAAGAATAAAAAACTTTGTAGATATTAATGTTTTAAAATCTTCTTTTCAATCCTCATATTATATGGAAAATATTTTTAATTACAAACATCTAAATAAAGTCACCTCCAAAGCAAATCTTCTTCTCGATTCTCCTAATGATAACCCAACGAAAATAATAAACTCTTGGGAACAGGACCTAGAAATAACTATATCTATAAAAGAATGGTGTTCTTCCTTGAATCAAACATATAAAAATATTCACTGTTTGAACTTGGTAGAATGCCAATTTAAAATTATGAATAAATGGTACCTAACTCCTAAGGTGCTAGCTAAAATGTATCAAGATTATAACCCCATGTGTTGGAGATGTGGCAGCGATATAGGTTCCTATATTCATATATGGTGGGCTTGTCCCTGTGTTAATTCAATATGGTCTTGGGTCTCCAATCTTTATTATGTTTTGACAGGTATAAAGTTAACATTCTCCCCTACAATCGCTTTACTCCATGTAAATTGGAATTTAAAATTGAGCAATGATATTTGTATTGCTGTTCATTGCTTTATAGCTATGAAAATCACAATAGCTAGAAACTGGAGATCCTCCCTGCCCTTTCAAAAACACCATATTCTTACTCAAATTATAACATAACTTAATATGGAAAAATCCCTCTTCGACAACCATATTACCCAAATCAGGAAAAAAGCTGTATATGAAAATTGGTTAAATAAATTGTCAACTCTATAGACATCACCCTGAACTTGAAAGAAATTTTTATTTTTTATTTTTTTTCTCTTTAAATGATAAATATAATTCTGTCCTGATATAGAATACTTGTATGTATGCAGTACATTTATGTAAGGTTTGTCATTATGTGTCTTGTTTTTATGATTGATATAGTACAAATATGTGATCTTGAATTTCGTATGTAAAATTGTATTTGTTAAAATTAAATAAAGAAATATAAGAAAAAAAAGAAAAGAAAAATGCTTTCCTATGGACACTTTGAATGCGCGCGCGGCACTGCCACGCATGCGCATTCCGCTCTGCTGACGTCGGCAGGGGAGGAGAGGTAAGGGAGCCCGGCGGTGGAAGAAGGTGAGTAACTGAAGGGGTTTTAACCGATTTGTTTTCCTGACACTATGGTGATCCTTTAAGATCTTAACTCCTCATGATCTTATAGTGTTTTATTTTTATTATTTGAAGGGTACAATTATTTCTGCCATCAACTCTAGAAGGAGATTTTAATAATATTGTACTATGGAAATCCAGCTTTTTCAGTAAACATGTCCCATCTGATCCATAACTGGAGACTACTGAAAT